CGGGTTCGACCCCCGCATCGGGCTGTTCCTATAAACGATTGCGAGCAATAGCGAGGCATATATTTTTTTCGCAGTTATCTTCTACTCTCCTGGAACCTCGACGCCAGAAACCGACTTGCATATCTCGAGCAACTCTTCCTGTTTGCTCACATTGTCCGCTCCGGGATGAGGTCTGCTCTCTCCACTTGTTGTAACAAACGCACCAGACGTAGCCTTTGTCAGAGATCCGTCACCAGCGACCCAGCTCGCCAATGCCTTTGCTGGCTCGCTCAACTGAACTGGTGCCGAGTTTCCTCCCATTTTGGTCTTTACCCAGCCGGGATGCATGCTGAGGACTTGGATGTTAGCCCAGCGTCGTGCAAAGGCCTTTGCGAGCATTGTGTCGTGAAGCTTGGTGTTGCCGTAAGAGTGCGATTGAGTCGCGTTCTTGAGAGTCTCGTCACCGCTGTAGTGACTGTCTGAACTCATGAACAAGAGCCTGCTCTTGGGCTTGTCCATGAGACATGTGAGGATGTATGGCGCGAGGGTGTTGACTGCGAATACAGCTGAGATCTTGTCCGAAGTGATTTCCCTCGATGCTGTTGAGCCATAGCCGATGCCTGCGTTGTGCACGACGACATCAAATGGCCCGGCGCTGTTAGCGTCATTGGCGAGTTTTTTAGTCTCTTCAATTGACGATAAATTGCCGACGAGAACGGCTGCGGCGTTGGGGATGGCGGCTTTGGCTGAAGCGGCGCGATCGGCGTTTCTGGCGTGGAGAACAACTTGGTGGCCTTGCTCAACGAGGAGCTTTGCGGCAGCTTGACCGATGCCGTCTGTCGAGCCTGTGATGAATACACGAACCATGTTGGTGATATGGGTGAGATTCTCAAGTTATGATGTGATGAGTTATGAGAAGTCCGAAGCAGGAGCCCTTGCTTTTTACTGATACGGCGAGGCATGATATCACACACAGAGCTGGTTACGTCATCAATTCAGCATCCATCACTGACGCAAATCTCACGTGAAAAACAAAGAAATGAAGTTCTAGAAACCGCAGAACGGGTTTAGAAATGTCGATAAATCGGGACATTCAATTTTATCCGTGAGACTGCGAGGAAAGAATGTCCTGGACCATTGCAAGCCTCGTGTTCTTGGAAACGCGGGATGATGAACCACTGTGCCGCCGCATGTACAATGACGAATAGACGTCTCGATCAATCAGCCAAAGCCGTTAAATTCAAGTTGTCGAATCGGCTCTTGGTTAAGACGTGAAGGATTACTCATTTGAGCAAAACCGACAACAAAGCTGCCTTTGACCTGCATCCTCGGCTACGAACGCCGAGACTGAAATGCGGAGGTTACATGGCTTCGTTTCCCCAGCAGATCTTCTTGACCATCTACCAGCACGAGGAATTAACTAGACCGCCATGGTTCTGTTATCGGACTACAATTTTGCCGGAGTGTCCCTCTTGTAATTTGCCGGCAAGACGCAGAAGTATGTTGTGATATTCGCCGATGTCGTTCTGAATCCGAGACAGGGATACTTTGAATGGTTTCAATGCTCAGAGATACGGCTCCTGGATGACGAGATTGTGTGCACTTATAAAACGATGATCCATATTTAGGGCATAATATCAGACTTCCGGATATCCGATCGAAGGGAAATGATGGCGAAAAAGTGATATGTACAGTATCCGGATTGATTAATTGAATCTAAATGCATGCTGTCAGGTTAGCCAATTGTTAATGGGGCCTGCGGCTGTCTCAACCTTCCAGGTGCTGAACGTTGATGGTGATCTTAGCTGCAATCGCCTCAGCAGGAACGTCAGCGAAACAATGCCTGGACACTCGCTTGTCAGCGCATAACATACCTTATGATCGAGCTTTTTTGCTAAATACAATCAAAGTCGAAGATAACCTTAATCCGTTCTCCAGTTACCCAACATCGCTAAAACTAACAAGCTTAAAGAAGTGCCGTGACACCCGTGTCCTGCCACGTTATCACCCACGATTCTGCCTACTCTAATTAACAGTAGGTATGCGCTTGTCTCAATTTGATCAATCCAAGGTAACATTAACCAGTAGCACGCATGCGGCTGAACGCTTCTAGATATCAGTAGGCGACTACTCGCGCTTCATCATTGGACTTTAACCAAGTGGCTTGAAATGCTGTCTCTGAGTAGCCAACCGTGCTGCAAAGTGATGGTAAAAGGCTTCGAATGATTGGGCGGAGGAGTCTAGCGTCGTCGATAGCCTCACAAGGCGTTCCTGCACTGGCGTTTTGCTGACAGGAGTCATGCCGCTCCAACTTAGAACTACGGAGCTACAAGTTCAATGGTTTGATGTGTCTTCGATAATAAATAGCGTGATGACATGCCCTATATATAGATAATTACCCTGAAACTTGCTCACGATCTTGCGATACCTTCATTCCTCAAAGATCGAGGCCGTCCCCAAATCTAGCTGTCCCTTCAACACAACTGCAAGATGACAAAAAACCAAATCTTATTCGCGGTCGATAACCAGACGCCGTTCACTCTAGTCCCAAATCCAACCACGTTCAGTGACTGGGGCGACTTTGCTGCAGGCCCGACAACGGTGAGCTTCCTATCAAAACAGTGCCGTAGTACATTCGTGCTAAATGGTGTCAAGGTCAAACCTTTTCAGAAAGGAGACGGCGGCCATATAATGTCTTCACAATCACCGTTTGTCGGCTCTGCTGGAATAGTCGGATATTCACTCACCAGCAAGAATGGCGCCACGGTTTACATTCGCCTCCTTGCAAGTAACCCGTACCTGAGCGTTCGCGACAACTGGGCATGCGTCTCCTTCGCTTCTTTCGACCAAGAAATCGACCGGGCCGCTTATAATCACCATTATTATAACGAACCCCGTCATACCAGCACGCCATTTGAAGAGAGGACTCTTAGTGTGAGCAACCACCAGCGCTGTCTTAACGGAAGGCTGATAGTGACCTAGCTTACTTCAAATATCGGCCATGCAGACTGTGCGACAGCAACGTTCGTTTTAACTTACGTGTAAGTAGTTATTTCAATATTATCTCAACTGCCTCGAAATTCCTTCATAGAGGGTAGTACTAAGGTCTTTTGTAGGGTCCCGGACGTGTACCAGTCCTCGTTTATCAGCCAAGGCTAGGGATAACGGCGTATAACGCATTCCAAGTCTGTAAACATGACAAGCATCTCCAGAAGTCACGATCCGGAGTATGAAAAGGAGAAGAATTCAAATAAATCAGGTCGTTAATGTCATAAACTAATTTCATATATAATGTTACATGGTGACAGACTTCCGATAACGAAACATGTTACAACTCAATGATGGCGGGTTGGTTTTCCGTATTTTATATGTGCGCCAGACTTGCCCGATCTTATGTTCAATCTGAAATCAACTTGGCCATTCTTTGAAAGAAATATACAGACGGTTTCCGGGGAGAAAGGCTGTATCTCCCTCGTTCAGAGGGCTGGTAACGTGACCACAAACTGAACCACATAAGGAAAGATTGTGAGATCGGGGATTTGCTCCAGCATAGATTAAACTACTCCATTGCATTCAGACCGCCAGCAGAGATTGGTGGGGCCTTATCTCCAGCCTGCTTCTTCTCGTCGAGCAGCTCACCAAGAGGCATCTTACCCATGGAAGTATCGGCCTGAGATCCAAGTATTCCACGGTTGGGAGCCTCGCGTGGAACAAAGTGCTGGTAGTCAGAAGTCATGTCCGTTCTGTTCTGGAGAGAGTAGTTGGTCTCGTCAATAGAAGGCTTCTTTCCAGTGGGAGCCTGGTTGCCAAAGAGAGTGGTGGAGCCAGACTGCATGTCAGAGTTGTCGTTGCTGACGTGAGGGAACTTGGAGTAGTTGAGCGACTTTCGGTGTTGAGCATAGTCAGGCATATCCTTATCCCTGCTAGGAGGGAAGTTGGAGGTGGCCTTGCTGGAAGGCGAGAAGTCGTTGGTGGTGCCAAGGGAAAAGCCTGAAGACATGTCCTTGTTCATGCTGGAACCAAAGCTGGAGGTCGTATCGTCTGGACGACTAGAGGAATAGCTGGAGGTAGCTTCCTTGGCCTTGCTGGACATGTAGCTGGGAGTAATATCTTGAGGCTTGCTGAAGGTAGCTTGTCCATAAGAGGGAAGACTTCCAGTTGCGCTGTGGGAGAAGCTAGGAGTATTCTCCTTGGACTTGCCAAGAGCGGGTTGGGTGTTGGAGGGGAAATCATCAGTGGTGCTGTGGGAGAAAGTAGAGGGAGTGTCCTTGGATTGGGAAGAAGAGCTGTCGAAGCTGCTTTGGGAGAAGTCCTTGGTTTGACTGGGGTCGACGTGAACAGTCTTGATAGGTGATCGGTCGAAGCTACTTGAAGTACCATGAGAGCCCATGGATGCAGAATGCTTCGACTGCTCAGAGGACTTGGAATCCTCCTGAGGGAACTTGGAGGAAATGTCTCTAGCCTGAGTGGGTCCAGACGAGTTGTGAGCAACGGTTGAAGTAACATCAGCTCGGTTCTCAGTCTGCTTTGAACCAGGAACCATGTTGACAGCGCGTTGTCTCAAGTTACCAGCGGTATCTTGGGCCATGGAAGAAATATTGGCCATGGTGCCCTTAGGGTCTTGAGCGATAGAGTTGGCTTGGTCAACAGCTGCATTGCTGATCTCTTGAGCACGAGCCATGCCATCACGGGCGATGCCTCGTCCTCGCGGGGAGGTGACAAGAGGGATGATGTAGATGGTGGTGAGACCAAGGATAGCGATGCCAAATGGTGTCATGAATTGGATGAGGAAGTAAAGCGATCCAGTTGCAACGAATGCCTATTGGCTGTCAGTACGGGCCAGTTGAGCGACGGGCATTTAATTACACCAAAGGTCTTCTCCAGGTCTTCAGCGAAGATAACCTTCTGGGCTTGCACGACAGCATACTGAATAAAGTCGTGGATATCCTTGAGGGTGGCGTTGAGAGTCGATTCTGGAACAGTCTTGTACTGTCGGGGTCGCATGCGAGAAACGAAGTTGTTGGGACCAAAGGAACGACCAGCGAATTCGGCCATGGACATGACTGCAACGAATAATTAGCCACGATTGACAAAAGTACTAGACGTATGAACTGTACCTCCAAGGCCAATTGCCATAGTCTTGAGAACCAGTTGGGTGAGGTGCATATGGTGGACGGCGAGCATAAAGCCCAAGGCTGCGAAGTAAGATCCGATAGTTCGTGCGGGATCCTCCCACTAAGCAATGTCAGCCACCAGCCACGACAACGGTTGAAGAGCAACATACGCTGATGTACTTGTAAAGACTGTCCTGTTGAGCTGTAGCGCAAGAGTCAGAATCGCGAGACCTCTGTTTGATAGCTCGCATTTTCTTACCAATAATATCCTTCAATGGCCCGGAATCTCTGCGTTCGACATTGTTCTGCGACCTTGGGGCATCTTCAGCCAAGACAGGCTGGAAATTGTTTCGAAGTCCACTCATATTGATTATCGGTTATCCGATTACTGTGTGATTCGTTTCAATTGCTTCGGTGATAAACGATAAGATCAGAAGAACACAAGCCACCCATCGAGCCAGCACCGCCCTTTATCTCTTCATCAACTCACCAGCCCATGCAAGAAATCTGGGGCTGAACTCTAGTGCGTCATGGCTGATGCGCTCATGATGATTTCTCCGCGTCGTGACATCAGGGCTGTCTCAGCCACCAGCCTATTTCTGGCCTAGACTTCCTCCACCAACGTCTTGGTTTACAAGCTACCAAGCTAGGTACAGGAGCTACTGAGCTAGCTCTAGCTACACCCACGTCATTTCCGTCGTCACCGTTTCAGATTATTGAGATCAAGATGAGGTATTGTTTATACGCATAGTTTCCGGCTAAGACGGCCGTGAGAGAAAAGCAGGATTGAGGAGGAATTCTAAATTCGTGAAATTCAAGGCTTGGAACTTGGCATTGAGAAGGTTTGTACTAATGTTGAGGATTGGCATCATGATAGGCTTGGAACGGAGAAAAGGCATACGACAGATATGTGGTCAATTGGTGATACTCCGGAAGTCATTCCTAGCATAGCCCTTCAGCCAATGCATTGCCATATTCGTCCGCAGCTTGATCTCCTTACTGTAGCTGGTAACCCAGACCCGCTCGGTGTCTCAGGAGAAACCGGCTTGAAGATTGAATTAAAACGCGGCCGCCATTCCTCCAATAAACTCTCCTCCTCCACGCAGACTCGGGGATTATCTCCCGCTTGAAACCCCACTCACTGATCTACGGCACTGCCTCACAGAAGCGATGATCCGAGGCGCCTCATCGTTGGTTCGAATCGCCGTCTTCATTTCTGCGCCAAGGTTTAGAGAACCTTGTGTTAATGCACCTAGTCAGTCGCATTGTACTGTCACTGAATAGACAATCGCTGTCCTTTTGAGTTAGATTGAAAAGGCTTGCTCGTCACTATGGATGATGTGTTAGTGACTGACGAAGCTTGACACATGGTGAGAATTGGATTCTTGTGAGTAACTTCAACGATGAGTTCTGCGAGTGGATCTGCCGGCTCAGGATAGTAAGGAAATCGGGGCATTAACAACTTGCTTTTGGTACTTTAGTATTTTTCCAACAGGTTCTTTCGACTATCTATTCTACGTGCATGGATCTCCTTACCATACGACAGCGCAACTTACCCTCAAAGAATACGGCAGCAGTATTCCTTTTTCTCATGTTTGAAAGTCCATCCCGGCACAAGCTCCCAGTCGTTGAACATATTTTCTTGCTCCATTTTGATCCTGAGACCAGTCATGACAACATCCTTATCTTTGCAATCTGTACTTACCGTCACTTGAAGATTATTAGCGACGATATCAACCTCGCACTCCCTGCCGCAGGCTGCTTGGAGCCGGTCAGCGTCACGCAGGAGATCAGGTGAGCGGTCCGGCTTAATCGAAAAATTGACCTGTAGAATCATACCAGACATTTTGAAATGAATCTGGAAGGTTAAACGTTGGTAGGATGCTGGCGTTGAGGAAACAAGTTGTCAAGGTTGTAACCTGTTAGCAAAAGGCGATAGTTTGGATAAAGAAGAAACATCAATTTGGCGAATAGTGGATATTAAATACACTCGAGGCTATACTACAAGTCATTGTATGTTCTTCTAGACATTCTTTTGTTCACATTACCATTCGGAGCTGTTTGATGAACATTGCACTATGAAGCGGCATGTCCCGAACAACCCAAAGTTAGTAGTTGACGGTCTCCATATTCAATGGCCTGTTCACAACCTCATTAGGTTGTTTCCTACATGTTTCTGAATAAAATGTGAATTTCCCTGAACAGACTGGTGTACCAGTACAGAATCCTTCGGCTATGTTGGCCGTTTCCTCAATCTATCAGCCCAGTCAGTCCTCGGTCTAATGCCGGAGGAACAACACCTTGTCCTCAAGCACTCAAGGTCTCAGTTCTCCCATCTTTGCGAAACGCAGTGATTTCAGAGACCTCCCAATCATTAAACATCTGCAGCTTGTAGAACGTTGGCCACATCTCAGCTTTCATCGCCTGCGCGTTGTCATTCTCTTTCTCATAAGTGAACCTGATGGTCTTTGTTGCGTGGTCTGGACACGGTCTCATATAAGGGTCAAAGCATTGCTTGATTAAAGTCTCGGGGGTGGGATTTGTCTAGAATTCTAAATCGCCTTTTTGCTTAAAGACAACAACCATCCTGGTATAAGATACTTTAGTCATTGTCGGTTGGAAATGATGTGATATACGTTATGGTTAGGACATTCACTAGATACTTGTGTAATTTAAAGTTGAAGTTCATACAGGTGGTAAGATTGAGGCTTTTATACTCCTTGATGCTTCGTGATGCACGACTGGAGAATATTTATTAAGCGTTATGATTCGAATTCCCAGAAACCGATCGAATTACTCACGAGGCCATTCTTGGAACGGTAGTATCAGAGCATCAGTCCCGCACTCATCCTTCATTGTAATAAACGACACAAGTCATATTTGTGACAGAAAGCTATCAAAAGACTTGTTCATGGTCGAGACCTGAACAACTAACATTAATCGCCGACGTTGTCATTATTTCCGACATGGCTTCAAAACGGCGTCTTACTACTATTTCCAGCTATGCTAGCCTTTTAGCTCAAATGTATTTAAGTCAATCACCGGTGACGAGGTATATATCCGACGTGTCACGGATATTAGACGCCAGATCCCACTGGACGGACTTTCAGGCCGTTTTGCCTCGGATCGGAATTCTGTGCCAACGTTGATAACTCCACCCCGCATCTTTTGACAGATGTCGCCGATTCGATATTATCCTACGTGGCCAGATTACAGACTACTCTGCTTATAGATGAGTTCCCGGCTCCATTCGGAAAGAATATGAGGATGCGGTCTACTTTTTGTAAGCAATAGACTAACGTGTCCCTTCTGGCGTCAGCGCTAGCAGGGAAAGCGACGAGGTATCAGATCCCACGGGCCCTCTTAGGGTAAATACACCGTGGCAACCAATCGTCGCCTTCATAAGGGAATCCATATAAGCAACCTCGGAGAAGTATAAATAACCGCCGAATCATCAGAGTTTGGTGCTTGTACTGTCTCTCGAGGTTCAGGTCCCATTGAAAAATCGTCCAGCATATACTTATCTACAATGAACTCGCCCACCGCTACCATCAATGGTGTCACAATCGTATGGAGGATCAGTTCTCTTTATCCTTCGCCTTCAAGCTAACACACATTAGCGAAACCATAATAAACCCTATGAAGCCATCTCACCTCAGCGACCTGAGTTGTCGCAAGCCGGTCGAACCGTCCTCGTTTGCGGCGGTTCAACAGGCATTGGACATGCAATTGCACGAAACTATTGCATCGCGGGTGCATCGAACGTCATCATCTTAGCTCGCCGTAGCGATGTTGCCGAAAAGGCTGCTTCCAAGCTGAATGAGGCTTACCCCGGCACCAATGTGACTTGGCGTATTATGGTATAATGTCTAAGTTGTTAGCTAGATGTGTTATTTGCAGTTGAGGCTCGTGGCTGAGAGCTTAAATCAGCAGACAGAACTTAGTGACTTGGCGTACCTGCGACCTGTTCAATAGATACCAAGCAAAACAGCTTTGGGATAACTTGGAGAAGGAAAAGATCTTGGTTGACGTTCTTATCGTCAATGCTGTTGGCCAGCCTGAGCTTAAGCCGATCCTAGAGCAAGGCGCGGATAGACTCTGGCAGGACTTTGAGAACAATGTCCATGCTCCTTTATACCTCGTTGAAAGATTCTACAAACAGACAGGACATAACAAAAAAAAGGTTCGACTCCTGGAGTCACTTGGAATCCTTGACTGACCTGTCGTTCTAGTTCGTTGTGTCGGTGTCGACTCAAGATATCCATCGCTGGGACAGTGCTCCTCAGATGCCTGGATATCAACTGACCAAGAACTCCTTCGCCACAGTCTTGCAGCAGGTTGCTCGCGATACGCCAGAATCCAACATGCGCATCATCTCATTCCATCCATCCATCGTGTTTACAGAAGCGGCGAGGAAGTCTGGGTACACCGAGGACACTCTACCTTGGTCAGATGGTAGGTTGAACTGTCACATTAATGCTGAGTCCCGGTGGCTAACATATCTCAGAGAATATCCCCGGTGGTTTCGCTGTATGGGCCGCTTCCCCAGAGGCGGAGTTCCTCCATGGCCGTTTTGTCTGGTCTACATGGGACGTAAATGACCTAGCATCTGGAGAGCTTAGGAGTCAGATCGACTTGGATCCTTGGTTACTTAAAGTTGGAGTGAAGGGTCTATAACCGTGACACACCTCTTACAACAACCTGTGCTGAAGCATACATTCACTCCTGGCTTGTCTACATCAAGAGGCATATAAGGAGCAAAGAAACCTGAAAGTGCATCTTGACGCCACCTGCTGTACAATTGTGATAGAGACTAGTATCTGTCAAGGCCCTGTGATTTTTCGGATTGCTCCTGGGTTCTACTTATCCCTGTCAGAAGTATCTCGTTTCCAGACAGACTCACGGAAACAGAATAAAGCTATTCACATTGCAACAATAGTTTAATGCACTTAGGTATCGAAGCGTCTCACTAGGTTCTGTCTGCTGATTAAGCTCTCAGCCACAAGCCTAAACTGAAATTAACACATCAGTGTTTTGCTGTTCAAACTTCTTGTTCAATTTTGACGGCTTGGGATTCCAATCTATAGTGAACAACGGTCTGCACTATGATCCCTGTTCGCTGATGACATGTCTTCTATCACCACTATGGTAATTGACATGTCGAAGTCCATGTCTCTATAAACAAGCTTCTTGCCTTATATGAAGAATTGTTTATGAAGTTTCCCATCCCCATCTCGAATGAACAGTTCACTAAACTCCCAGCTATCGAAAAACCCAGCATCCTCAAGATATGCAAAAACGGCCGCTTTCTCCGCTTTGGGGGAGTCTCGACGACAAGGCGTGTCAAATTCCACTCTGATAAAAAGGTTCCCGTTGCTTGGGTTCACTAGAGTACAACGCTGCCCCCCACAGGCTCTGTTCAGAAGATCAAGATCTGGTATCTTAGGGACCGGTACTTTGCGTTTAAACCAGATGTCCATTTGAAATAGGTTTAGGGATGGCCCAGACATTGCGAGTGACTGTTGTTTTCTGATAGGTAATAGAGTAGTTTGGGTAGAGAACTGTGTCGGTGTGTGGCGGGATGAGTTTGTGAAGTCTATGCTGATCAGTCCTCAGCACCTGTGTAACGAAAGGCACTCATATACGTGCGGGTTGAGTGGATTTTGTGGAACAGGTGTCTCTCCTTTGATTCAACAACGATCCAAGACAAGTGATTCAATTCGTTATGATGAACTCGTGAGGGTTGATAGTGAGGGATTCAATGCCAAATAAGAGTGTGACACTGTTCAGGCTGCCGTGATTAACATAAGCCAGAATTCAATCACGGTACGGCTCCCTACTGAACAGAAACTCCAGTGTCTACAGAGCTGAGATGTCAAATGGCCTCATTTCCTTGGTGACTTGAGGTTGGTTTGATTGGTTTATAACGGCTGTATAAGGACACGTAAGAGCTGGATTCATAATTATTTACATAGGATCATAGTTCAGTTCAGATTTAGCCCTTCCCAAGTTACGTCATTAAGAAAATGACCTATAACCTATGGGACTAATCTACAGGATACACGTCATGAAGCTTGATATAACATCCCTTCAACGAAGCATCTTTGCTGGTCCGATTATACAGGTTTTCAGTAAATGTTGATGCGAGCGTAGCAAACGCTTTGTCAAGTGAAACATTCAATCGGTGAGCCATATCGCCTTGATGTTTGATCTCACTTGGTATCATATTCAGCATCGCCTGAGAAGCTAAAGAGCTGTTACCTTTTGTAATCATTGAATGGCTATAAACCAGTAACATGCGATTGAATCATCATCTTACTTATAACCGCCGTGTCTCAAGTCTCCCTGTCCCTGTCCTGAATCTCCCAGGTAAAACTGTTCGTGTACCCCGCCAAACTCATCCACGATAAAGATTCGATAGTAATTCCAGCTACCTAAAACACCCATGCTCTCGAGGACTTCCCAAAGGAATTCTTTTGTCTTTTTCGGTGATTTCATAGACTCTTGGCGGGTGAAAAAAAGGGTGAATTTGAGTAAGCTCGTCTCGGGGTGATATACTTGCTGGCAAAGCTGCATGCCACAAGCCTCAGCGAAAGCACCATTTGGCGGCACCATGAACGCAGCGTCAGGGCGGGGCAAGAAGTGGACTTCAAGTTGAACGAGGCGCGGTGGCCGGGGTAGCATTGTGAAAACGTGTTTCTTTGAGCCAGGATAAAAAAGCGGTGGTACTGGAGGGTTGTGTTCTTGTAGGCTTGAGTGGGTTACTATTAGATCTTGACCAAGATTCCCAGCTGCTGTGGAACGAAGGGTACTCATATAGGCGCAATTAGAAGTCTTGTTCGTGAAAAGGATGTCTTTCTCTTGTCATTGTTCCAATGAACTTGCGAGAGATGGACAGTTAAACATAAATACCATAGGCTAAAGTTGACTGCGATTCTGTCAAGACTACTGTGATTAGAAAGTTTACTGCCTGTTCAAAGTAAGCTCCCCTTGCACACACCAACTTGCAGATACTGATTCATGAATATCCAGATGAGCATCACAGTCTTGGATCAAAGCACTTCACTGTCACTGATCTCTCCACTGAATCATTGGTGACGATTCATTCCTCTGCGACTGGGATCCATCTCTCACTCTGATGCTACTGAAATCTCAATTTAGCACCAGATTTATGGAGGTTCCATAGCCAGTAAGAAATCCTGTGCTCAAGTCGCCTCACTCTATGTTAAGGAAGATGAATAACGGGCCAGTCACAATCATGCCACATAAAAATGTAAGATTCTCTCTTTCTACTTCATTATTTTCCCAATAATTTCGGCTGAGGTAGTTGAATCGTTGTCCAATGACTGTTTATTATGTGGATGAACTGCCCGCGGTCGAAGGGAAGAGACGATCGAGAAATTCCTCCAAAGTTGGCATTTCGTAAACCTTTAGTAGTCGTTCGTCCTCCAGAGGATTAAAAACCTCCCCCATGCTGGTCATAAGAAACAGTTCCTGAAGATCCCAATTCTCCCAAGACATTCTCCTTGCGTAGCAGATTCCACAGCTCGCCTAGCACCTTTGCTGCGTTATCGAAGTTGTCGTAAATTTTGAACTTCAGTAACTTGTTGTGTTCATCATATACTTGCTCTGACCGCCGTGCATAATTATACGTCTTAAAGATGTCCTCTTTCGGAGGTTCGACCTGCGTACTCTTTGCCTGAAAGTGGACTTCCATCATTGCGTAGATCGTTCCCACCATCTTGATGGTAATGGTGTCAGGGTGACAGCTGCTTGATCAGATAAGTGTGGCAGGTATGTTCAGATAATAAAGTGAGCCCGTGAGAACATGCGAACCCCTTGTCGATTGTCATGTCTCCGCCGACGGGCTCATTTATATAGTTGCATGAACGCGGGCTTTTCTCCAGGGGGTCGTCACGGCGCAACACCCCAGAGACTCAGTGATTCTTGGAAGTGAGGAGGCTCAGAGTTTTTCAGTGAGTAGACCATCCATAATGCCGCCGAAATGATGGTGAGTTAATGGCGAGATAAGCAGAGCAGCTGATGAAGAGATATATCTCACGGGACATGAAAAGACCACAGGTTAATCTACGTTCATTAAGATGGATCTCTTCGTGAGTTTTTAGAGAATGGACTCAGTAAGTCCAGTCTATTACCAATGGCTATAGATTGAGGAAGACATATTACCGATGCTATGATGAAAGGCACCTTCAAATCTTAGCCAAGTTTATTCAGAACAACAGAAAATGAGGTAGAACTTTCTCAATGTATTGGAATCATCCCTCGTGTAATCCAAGAAGTATCCAGAAGCGAGAAACTTGTAATGCAGCTACTGCCGAGTATGCATCAATTCGCGATCAAGCTGTTTGTTGTCCGGGCCTTCCAGAAATACAGTCTCTCCTTGAGCAAAGATCTCAACAATGTCCCACTGCCTATACACCTTTACGCTGTCAAAGACTGGAAGCACCTCGTACACAGCTGAGGCTCGTCGCTGAGAGCTTAAATCAGCAGACAGAACTTAGTGGGAAGGAGGCGGTATTTGACCATATAATAAATAAAACGGGCGTCTATGAATTTGTTTGTCTCATAGCGGGCTTTCGCGTCTTTGTACCTGAAAACGCATTTCACAGTCCACCTTGTTTGTGTCATCATGAAGAGATGGTGCGGGTTATTGGATAAACCTGTGATTTTGCTGGTGTTCTTGTGTTGATGAGAACTAAGAGTACTCTGAGTGCCTACCTTTACCAGGTTGCATCAATCCAGTCTGTGACACTTATCATGGATCAAAGCTCGTTGTTCGTGGCAAAGGCCAATCCCAAACCTGTGCCTTGTAGTTGCCGGTTGTTTGTTTGCGTTTTGATTCAGCTTATCACATTCAAATGTTGAGATACAGCGACGTGGCAGACTTTTACAGTAATTAGGTCCTGAATAGCATTGCTGTTTGACTTTGATTCATAATGGTCATTCTCCATTCACGAAGCGGGTTTGTGGGTGACGGCGTCAAGAGCAGGCTTTTTGATAAGCGTCGGCATGGTGAGTGGCGCCTCGACGAGCCTCGATTCTACTGTTTCCTAGCGTGCATGCGATACTTTCTTTCAAAGCCTGGTCTTTTGTTTTATACTCAGTACTCTCTAGACATATCCCATGATGCCATCATGTGTTGCACCACTGTTTCATGCCTCTGGCTTCTGTCCGTAAAATACAGTCCTGCAAACAGAACTAGGTCAGCATGTCCCCTTGATGCTCGAAAAGTGAGTTAGACTTACACATCAAGATACGCATGCAGAGCTGGGTTCGTCAACTCCTTGCGCATGTCAGCCAAGAACAGCTGAGCATCCTCATATTTCCACTACATTCTCCACCGTTAGCAAATCTTCACTATCGTCGGACCTCTGCTCCAACTCACGCCAAGCATTTCGGTCAGGCCACGAATAGAGAAACCCTCGAGACCTTGAAGAAGGAAATGGCGGTTCCAAGCACCCCACTGCTTGAGAGTCTTATCCTTCGGCCAGGTTCCAATGGGCACCTTAATCCTTCGACCCGAAACATTGATGAATCCAGCATCAGAGATAGACTGCTGCATCTTGTCATCCCAGAAGAAGGATTTGCCTGTCAGAGATTCAATCTTCTTGAAGACGTCAACCCACTTGTGGAGCGGCGACTCGGGCTTCAGGGTGTCGTCATCACACTTTGAGTTGCCCCAGAGCTCGACACTCTCTACCCAGCCGCCGGGCTTCGTGTGTCTAAAGAAGTCAGGAGCTGTTCTCATTCCTTTCAAGCAGAGACATACTTGAATGCTTTACGGTAAAGCTCGGTCCAATCGGGAAGACAGCCTATCATAGAGCGAGCATGGATGAAGTCGAAGGTGTCTTCGGGATAAGTCCATTCGTTTGTGATATCGTCAACCTCGAATCTACAGTTGGGGGGAACAAAGTTTGGCTGGATGGGAGAAAGATCGACGCCGAGAACATCAGCCGAAGGATGCTCATCAGCGAATTCGCTACATTTGTTAGTCTTGGTATCATAGTCGTGTATTGTCTATGCATACTCACATTGCCCAGATGCCAGTTCCGCATCCTATGTCGAGAACTTTCTGTCTCCCAGTTAGAGAACGACAACATATCTTGGGGCGTTGCTTACCTGAGGATTGTCGCCAATGGGCGCCTCATAGAGGGAATTGCCGAGAATGATTCTGTACACCTCATGCCTGTTCGAATTTGTCAGAAGGTCACCAGTCCTTTTTGTGCATGTTTTTCTCACATGAGGTCTTCAGCTTCTTGTTGGCGATCATCATTGGGGGCCCTAATTTGTATCAGTCGACTAAAACATCAGAAAGTGCTGAATGAGAGCTCACCAATAGGACCCATCTTGGTAAGCGTGATATCGTCGCCCATTCTCCCACTTGAACGCCATAATCGACGACCGAAGCGACTCGGTATCCGTAATCCCAGTGCTACAACATGTAAATATTGCTGAAACGTATGACCTTATGTTGACTCACGATTTGGAGTAAGAAGAATCCGAGTCATCATCCTGTTGCCCAATGTTCTCATCAGTGTCCAGCCCCGTCAGAAACATCGTGGGCTGATCGTACAACTTCAATTGCCGCCTGCTCTTCAGCAACCTGGCCTGCCGCAGCAGGGGACTGCGGTCCCGGAGGCGACTTGGTAGGCGACCTAGACTTCTGCGACTTTGGGGATGACATTTTTCGTACAATATTCGCACAGGATATACTAAAAGTGTCGGGTTGAAATTAAAATTGGCGCCGTCGAAAACTAAAAGAGGGATTAAAAAGTAAGAACAGACCGCTCGTGCCCTTTGATGAGGGGGTTCCAACTGTATCCCTGTTGAGGGCATTACGAACCAACGCATGCATATGGTCTTGGGTTACATTCCGTGGCGGCAGTGTCAATCAACCGTTGGGTGCTAGCCATCATGGGCGTGGGCCTGCGGAGCATGTCAAAGGTTCAGCTAAGGACTTTTATATGTCAGATCATATGCATGATGGGAAGAATGTGTTGACTAGATATGTATTGCTGACGGCTTTGGGTCTAGTTCGAGACACCACGTACAGAGAAGACCGCGGGATTATACGAGCTGCACGCCCTTGCGTTGTGATAGTGACAGGGTTCGCATACGAGAAACTTCGTTCAAGGGCCTGATGAACGAACCAACCAACCAATGACTTGGCAGGCTTATGCCCTCCGCTCCTCGGGGTGCAAGAAGACTTCTGACGTTAAATAGAGGTGCCAAAATTACTTAGTCTAAGATTCTCTAAAGCTATACTAAAGCTATACTAAATTTATCTAAGCTAATCTAAAGATTTTTATCACCTAAGATAGAGGTCCCAAGTTTATTACACCCCCTTGCCGCTCCAGGTGCCAGAACACATCCACTTGTCGGCCCGCATATGCGTCAAATTGTCAAGCTCAGAATTAGTTTCGTTGCCGATAATCACATTCGATATGTAGAACCACAGACTTAATAGGCACAGCGCAATGGTTGAGCGCTGAATTGTCTTATCAAAATACTGTTATTTGTTGAGCGACTATACTATAGAGATCTACCATGTTGGTGGGATAAAGGATCGCCTCTCACCCGCCAAAGCTCCCAGCTTGAACGCCAGTAGCCGACCAGCCGACTGTTCCCTCGAATGGCCAGGATCGATAGACATCCTCTTCGATGCGTTTCTGTTACCCGATGCGGACCTGTTCCTTCTCAGATCCATCGCGCTCGAAGCCGAAATGAAGCTCTGTCGGGACGAAATAGACTCCCCACGCGACCGACGATTCAACCCCTCGAGCTTGAGCTTCAAGGCCATGCTAGTCTCATATGGCCGAGAAGGGGGCGTTTGGATGAAAGAATCAGCGACTGAGCCTGTGGCAGAGCTGCCACTGAATGAGCTACGACGAGATTGGGCAGTTGTGCACGATGCTGAAGATGGGACGCTCTCGTCATCGGGAATGGACTTAAGGCGTTCCATGAGTGGTTGAGGGTTAGCGACAACCAATTCATCGGCTTCCTCAAAGGAAATGGAGCTTATTGAGGTGCATTTAGCCGGTTGGCTCAGTCGAGAAGCTGAGCAAGACATCATTTCATAACCGGCCATAATTCTCATTCGCGCAGTGAGCATCTGGTCCTTGCAAGCAAGCAACGCGCTGGGGTCTAGCTCGAGAGCTTTCTTGAGTTCTAGAGGCTTGAAACGATCCGGGGTCATGTCCGATGCGGCCGCGCTCTCGATCTTCTGGGGAGCTGACTTGTCGTTCATCGCAATAGCCTTTTGCAGATCCTCCAGCTGTAATTGATTTGGCATACTGCTCAGACGACGGATTGCCTTTTCGTTCTTCTTCATGAAGCTTCCCATGCTTTTGACTGCCCAGACGTTTAGTCTCGATGCAGATGAGGCGACCGTTCCGTCCTTGGTGAGAGTGCTGACTCTTTCGTGATGAACATCGTTGACGGTGGCTGGCAGGAAGACTGCAGTTGGTGATTCCACAATCGAGGAAGTAATCACAGTCTTGATCTGGGAAAGAATGTTGTCGAAAGTCGTCTTCTCCAGTGACTTCGCGTTAATGTAGTACGACTCAGATTGACCGTTCATCGGGGTCTCACTGCCCCGTGATCGGGTCATGACAAAGAAGGTACCATCACGGATACATCGCCTGACAAAGGCCCATCGCGTTCGCGCTGGGTTATGTTCCAGCTCAGGCTGGTACACTGAGAGGCGGGCCAACTGAGTGTAAAACATCGCCAGCCGATGTGCCATCCTCTCGAGCGTCTGCAAGAGAAACGATGACAAAGCAGCCACGGGCGTGGAGTCCGAGTTGGACCCATCGAAGGAATCAAGAACAGTCGCGATGCTCTCAAAGGCGTCCATACCGTTGCACGCCTCTTGTCGGAGATCTTCCAAGAGCTCAATGTCAAGCTGCACGCATTTCGCAGTAAAGTCAAGGACTCCCCGCTCTTGGAAGCGCAGCTCGGAAGATGGATCGCAAACAAAGTCACCAAGAGCACTGATCTCTTTTGTGCTGCGAACTGCATCGCTACCTGACTTGGCACGGGCGATGGTGCCCAGAATGTCTGGTAGTTTGGAAGCTGCACCAGGTCCACCAGAGTTGGCGAAGTTGAATGAAAGGCGCAGGACTAATTCCTCAAGCTTTGATCCAAACAGAGCTGTGAAGCCGCCTTGTAACAAGCGATTCTGGTAATCGTAGAAGGTTCGAATGGCAATAGTATTTGGGAGCCCTTCTCGGAGCCAGATGTTGCTGATACCGTTGGGATCATACGCAGAGGGAGAGTCAATTGACTCGCCCATGATGTCGTTCATCTCAAACTGATGGGCGACAAGCGTCTCGACGGTGACCCTCAAGTACGAAGCCCAAAGATCATGGAGCGTTGAAACATCGCTGTCGCGGTAGTCGGGCTTGGGAGCCAGATGACCAATGAAGTACCTCGTCAGCAGACTCGACACCTCGGGGTTATTGGTATGTGCAAGGTTGTCGAAAGACTTGGTACAGTCGACACCCGCGTTGGACTTGATGATGAGAGTGCCGCCAGGGTGCATGGGACAGAAGTCGGTGACGTCGTAAACACTTCCGTGAACGGCAATCCACATTCGAGACTCTTGGCGATGGCCGGTATGTAGAGCGAGGTGAGACAGGGAAATCGTTGGGAGGTTGCAGGGGAGAGCCTTGGGAGACATGAAGACGTCCAGCATGAAGCGACGCTCGGCAAAGGCCTTGTTGATGATCAAGTCGACCGTCTCCATGGTTGCTGTGCGGTAGTTGTACATAGCCTTTCGGATACCGCTCATGACAGAGTCAAAGACAGACACTGAACCACAAACGTACAAGTGACCACCAAGACCGCCCTGCTTCTTTGACATGACCATGTCACAAATCGTGTTACCCTGCTCGACGATGAGACTGTCGATGTATCGAGGAGGTGTCGGCTTCTCCACAAGATCCCTGGCGATGTCGTCATATGTCAAACCATGGCGATCTCTGGAGAACGCTAGATGGACCTCCATGAAGCCCATATTGACTAGTTTCCGCAGCTCAGCCTCGTAGCAGAACTTCTCCCGGGACTGGACTCCCAGGTAGAGCAGGTTGCGTCCACCAGAGAGACCTGACGTCGCCAGCCGGTGCTGCCAGAAGCTACGGAAGGGAGCGATACCACTTCCTCCGGCGAAGAATGCGCAGGGAACCATCTTGTCGATTGGAAGTTGGAAGGCAACCGGTCGGGAAACGCCGATCAGGACTTCGTACAAGAGGCTGTTCTCTGCGGACAGGGGACGAGGGTTGAAGAAGCCGCTTGCGACGCCGGCTCTTGTGACAGTCTGTCCCTGCGAAAAGATTGGGCTGAGCTCGTACTCGGCGCGGGAGATGGTGAGATCGACAGTGCTGGGGAGTAGCTCGTTGCTGTGACTAGAGATGGAGTAGGTTCGGGGGACTTCAAGCTGAACGAGTTCCGACAACCAGCTCAGGTCTTCGAGGTTGAAGGCTCTGTTCCAAATGTGACTTGGCGTATCGAGGACGGCCTTTTGCAGAAGGTCGCCCAAAGATCCACGAACAGGCCATTCTTCGGTTGCCAGTACTTGCAGGACAGTGTTAGACGAAGCGTGGAGGAGCTCGTGGACTTTAACGGTCAGTTCCTTTGTGATTGGGGCGAGGTGGCCTCGACGGAGGATGTCGATGACCGTGAGTTGTCTGTGTGCGGTTCTCGTGACTGTAGAAAGATGGTGTTCGAAGCGAGACCATGTTCCTGTAGTGTCAACCTGCTCCCTAACGTGTTGATCCAGGCCAAGAGCAGCTACCATCTTAGCGCACTCCTCCCAACTGTTGAGAGGCATGACAGCCACACGATCTCCAGGCGCAAAGGTAATGCCGGTGTCCCGAATATCCAGGGTGACCATGGCAGTTGACCGGCTTGGATCCTGGTCAATAGAAGCGCAACTGGCAATCTTAGCCATATACCGACACTCCTCAAAAGTGCCCCTCATCGAATGCGGCTCCGTGGCAAGCTTGCCCCGAAAAGGCTCAAGACGCTCTTTCATAGCATCTGAGAACTGACGGTGAGTTTCCTCCCAAGGCCTTGTCGCATCAGCAGCGCCGGAAAGACCGTTGGTCGCTGTTCGTCCAGTCTTGGCTGCGACTTCGAGGATACCGAAGACTTTGTAGCGATGGACGCCCATGAAGCCGCGCTCGCCGGCGTAGGCTTCGACGATGCCCTCGAGAACACCCATTAGACGTGGGTCGCCGGATCGTTGGACGAATTCGGGGACGGAGTAGTGGTATTGGATTGCGGCGATGAAGGCACGGTGGTTGGAAGGGAGCCACGCTCGAAGATGAAGGGCTTCGACGCCGAGGAAGGATGCGTGTCTGTGTCATGTCAGCATTGGATCAGAGGAGTTCGAAGTTCAGCCTACGTCTTGCGGCCCAAGAAGGCATCCATCACCAGGTACGGAGGGAACTGCAATCCCGAAGCAGCGGGAACTCGCTTCGACAACGGCGATGAGAAGAGACCCCATCGAACCCATTTGTCGGCCGACACGTAGTTGTCGCCTGCGTTGGGGTTGGGTGAGATGCTGTGAAAGGCGTTGGGCATTCGTTCGAGAATCTCTTTCAGGCGGATCATTTCGTGGAGGAGACCTTCGATGTTGCCGGTCATGACGTGCTCTTGACAGGCGGCGATGGCATCGGGGCCATGTTGAAATGAAGCTGTAGGCAATCAGTAGATGAGTACCGAATGGCTTCAGCCAGTTTCTTACCAGATGTGTCTGCGCATCCTTTCAGAAACGCTACCTCAGCTCTTTCGCCGAACATGGGCCATCGAAGATCAGTGTTGTCGAAGCGCGCAAGGTATGGGGTGTTGGACTTGACGTCTCTGATCTTCAGGTTGTAGGAAGCTTGGTCGGGAAACGAGAGGTGGGGCAGGGTTCGTCCCATTCTTCGCGAGACCTGATAGTACGGCAGAGCGATGCACAATGGGATACCCTCGAGCTCTTCGCAGAGATCGTCGCCCATGGGATATTGCGGCTTCGTTGTCGATCCCTCAGTGATAGAAAGTCCGTCCTTGCCATCATGCTTATCCTCGAATCGATAAATAGAACAAAGCATACCGAGCGCTACCACCGCGCCCCAAAGAGCTTGATCAGGGATATTCTCCTCCGTCCCTTCAACAAGCGGCAGTGCAGCGACTGCTTCTCGCACTCTTCCTCGTGCGCAACATCCTGGCATGCGCTCGCAGAGATCAGACCAAATACGACCCGGCGATCTTGCAAGCGCAGCAATGGGCTCTTCGTAATCTGGTGGGCAGAAACCGTGTTCGACGCTGAGGTATCCATCCCGCCATCCGGTCTGGGGACCGATTTCTTGAGCGCGCTGGAGGACTTGCCGTGCTGGTGCGCCGAGGGCGATGGCGAGGAGGTCGTGGTCGCTTGCGTTCATGGCATCGAGTTCTTGTTGGCTCTTGACGGAATCGACTTCTTCGCGGGAGGGATAGTCGGCGTAGAGGAGTTCATTGATCGTCTTTCGTTCTCTGTTCACTCGCACGTCAGCCTTGTTATGTTATGCCCTCTTCCTTGAACATCCTACCTTGCGCGAAGCCATTCTTCTGTATCGATGCCCCGCGGAATCTGAATGTTCAGTCAGTGCCTATCCTCAAAACTTGTTCACCGTCGCTCACATCAAATGCAGCATGAAGATCGCCAGGTTGCGCCGCCGCCGAAAACGCACAACCTCGTCGCGTCTGCCCCGATCGCGAAGAACCACCACCAACCGGACACTCTCCCCCCACAGACCCCGACATCGGACAAGACGAAATCGACATGACAAAATTAAAGCGATCCACTGATTAATACAAAGACAAATAAGGCCACCAGGGCAACGAAGGGAAATACACAAAACAAAACGAAAACAAAAAGCCAAAGCCGCCAGGGCTGAGCAAACAAAAAAACGTACGACAATCGAACGACGAAAAAGCGAAGGTTTGGAAAGATCAACTTCCGTGATAAGAACGGGAATAAGTTGGTGGTATCATATACGTATGAGATGTCTGGGGCAAATGGAAGAGAGAGAGTCGAGACGGGTTTCAGGCTGGTTGCACTAAGACTAGACGGAAACATGCCAAGCCAGTCATCGCCCCGGCCAGGGGAGGATAAAAAAACTCATGACCTTGACCCTAAGCCATAAAATTATTAAAGTAAAACTAGCCTAAGCTTAGGGCTCTCTCTGGTAAGTTTATTTTGGCATTCTCTAGCCAAGTCTTGTGTTTTCTTGCTCCCTGAGACCTGGCTACAGCTCCACGGCGCAGTGTAGCAACTAATATTAAGCTTAAATCGAGGGATGAGACGCTAACTGTGGCATGACAAGACGCTGGTGCACCCGGGACGGCGAGGTTCCGTCTGAAACCAAGATATTGGAATTGCTGATTGCTCTTTTTACGGAGATGTTAGTATTGCGATACGCATTCTTTTCTTTTTAGAGTTTCACGATCATGGATTCGAGGAGCGATCGATCAGATAGGAAATTTAACTCTAGATCTGTAATTATTACCCCTGCAAAGTTTCAGTGTTGGTACGATTTCTCAACGCTCAGAACAGAACTGAGTAGAAAGAACGGGTCTATGTTGAACCTCGTATAAACTTTGACAATTACAATACAGCATAAAGAGATGTTCGAAGTGAGAAATCGAATTCTAATTCCTCAATTTATATTGACATGTCGATATCATACCAATTGATGTAGGAATGAGAAAGGACAATAATTGATTGTAGTTGCGCCTTCTGGTTACGCTACCCTACATCCAACGCTGGCGTTCTGGACCAATGTTATTCCGCCCATCTCTTGGTCGCCGCCAGTGATTTATCGCTCAGGACATGAACCAGGTCCAGTCGAAATGTCCAATCAGCCAAGCCAGGCGCCAACAACGGATAATCCTCGCCGCCAAGCACTCAACATCAGTCTCGTCGGTACGAATGAGAGCCAAGGGCTGGCTGATTGATCAAGAGACTTTCGTAGCTAAGTATGCACGTGCGCTTATGTGAAGAAATTTGTCGTTGAAACCCAGCAGGGAAGACCTGTCGATCGGGGTGCTGACGGGGACCTTGAAACGCATGGACGAAAAAAATTGATCTCCTCACAGCTTTCACTCAACACGATGACGGCTATTCTCGAGCGCCTACGACAGACCTGGCGTCAAGTCCGGGAAACAGCCGGTTTGCTGCCTTTGGTCCCTTGAATTTCGGCAGCACAGAGATTGTTCTAAATCCTTGCCCCATTTCTCGATTGCTTGAAGAACTCTCGCTATTCCAGCGCCACTGTACCACGCCGACTCATGATGAACTTGCTGGCGAATTCGTGCGTGAGGTAGGGATCTTCGCTGTAGGCTTCCAAGTTGCGGCCGCCGCGTGGTGTTCTGGAAATACAAACGGTAAAAAGTCAAAAACGGGTGATATTGAGCGGGCGGAGAGTTAATTATTACCCGTTGGTCCGAGCAGAACACCGACTTTTCCTGCTCTTGGCCTCAAAAGGCTGCAAACACTAAGGAGTAATGACAGTTCAATACCAAGTCGCCGCTGGGGAAACCCTGTGGCAGAACCCTTGTTAGCTTCGGTAACGCAATAATTCCCCGGTAGGCGCTGGATAGGCTCTGTCTGTAAAAATGTCCCGAAAACGCCTCCAGGTGCGTCCAAAGACTTGATTCTAGACATTCCAAGACGAAGAGTTGTGTTGCTTCTATAGAGATCTCGACTTGCAAGCAGAAGGACTTTTACTTTGCGAGTTATTTGTAAAAGATTCTTTCAGGCCCACGGCTATAGCCTCATTTTTGGCGTGCCCTTTATTAAGGGGAGGTTGGGCTTTTACAGGTGTCATCGCGGGAAGATTGGTTCGTATAACGGAAGTTCAAAAATAGTCATGGTACTCAAATGACCCGACTCTGGATGTTTAACTTGCAACCAAAGCATTGTATCTCCTTTTCGAGTAGAATGGACCTATAAATATTACAGGTTTCTGAGAGAAATACAATTCGCTGACTCTCTTCATCCAGTCTTTTGGCCATGAAAACAGCATCGTCTTGGCCCTGGCGTAGTTGGTCCGTCTATCTCCGCCAACCTTAACGCTATGATCAGCCCGCTCGGATCTCGTTCAAAGTTCCTATCTACCCGATGTTACATCCCAAACTGCCGGGGCCGCTTCATCGAGCCAGCGACAGAGTTCAGTACCCTCATTAATTGCCCGGTTGGGACCGATGTAAACTTTATTCCTGGCTGATATAAATTTTCAATAGCAGTGTGAATGGCAATATGGAGGCATATATCTCTAGTAGAAACATCTTCAGTGTTATCAATCATGTTTCAGGAACATCTTCAGATTCAAGAGCGTCTTCAGGTTGACGAGAAGGTCCTGGGACTTTCTCCCGACACTCTTTCTCAAAACTCCTCTTCAACTGAAACTCTGGGCGAAATTCAAGTGCCCCTTGGCCTTGAAGCTCTCGAGCCCTCATTTTCACTTTCTGAACATCTTCGGTCTGTCGGAGTTGAACTTTTCACAAGACAACAAAAAGCAGACACATTTCTGTCGCCGTTCAGCTGGTCGGGTCGGAAGAAGATCATCACTCTATTGGGACCTTTCATGGCATCGACCCTCGAGGCATACGGCGCTGGAGCCTACGCACTGGCTTCAGAGCCCCTTCGTACGAAATGGGACATCAGTGACACCCTCTTCAATATTGGAATCTCCCTTTTCGTTGTTGGCTTTGCCTTTACTCCTATGATTCTTGGCCCCATCAGCGAAACGCACGGCCGATACTGGACATTTGTTGGCTCTGGCATTGTATTCTTTCTCGGGACCTTGGGATGCGCGGTGACCGAAAGCTACGCAGGCATGATGGTTTCTCGCCTGATCACAGGCAACGGAGCCGCAGTTTTTGCAACGCTGACTGGCGGTGTTGTGAGTGATCTGTACCGCAAGGAGGACCGCAATACGCCAATGGCTCTGTACTCCATGACAATCATGGTCGGGGCTAGTCTCGGACCACTTGTTAGCGGAAGTGTCGTTGACCTTCTAGGCTGGCGTTGGATATTCTTTATCCAAGCTATCGCAATTGGGATAACGACAACAACGTTATTCCTTCTTTTTGAAGAGACTACGGGCAACGTACTTTTACGCAGAAAGTGCTTCACCCTCAATGCTGCCCCCATGAAAACATCAGCAGGAAAGCTGATCAACTTTGCGCCTGCGATGGAGGAACGTCTCAATATCGAATTCAGCATGATTTGGCGAAGTTTTGCTTTCCCACTACGGCTTCTTTCAAAAGAACCTATTGTGTTCTGTATGTCTTTATGGGTCTCTTTTGCTTGGGCAATCATGTACATGCAATTCAGCAGTATTGGGCTAGCGTTTCGTAGCGTATACCGCTTCGACAATGCTGAGGTCGGTGCAGTTTACGCTGCTATTATTGTAGGTTCAATCGTTGGCATCGGAATTTCACTACTGCAGGAACCCATCATAAAATGAGTGCTGCCTCACAAAAAGCCGTTGTCTACACCGGAGCAACGTCTGCTCTCGCCTTGCATACAGTCCATCCTCCTGCCAATCGGCCTCTTCTGGTTCTTCATGACAGCCAGACCAGACATCTCGTGGATATCTCCATGCATAGCTCTTGCATCGTGTTCGATGGGGATTTTCAGTATCTATCTTGCGGTCTTCAACTATCTCGTTGATACATACCATGGGTATGCCTCGTCGGCGTTGGCAGCTCAGACCCTCTGTCGAAATATCTCGGGTGGAGTGTTCCCACTGGTCACGGCTAGAATGATAACCAGTTTGACACTGCAAGGGACTGGTGGCTTGCTTGGTGGCATTGGGGTTCTGTTGACCGGTATCCCATGGCTGCTTTACTTTCATGGGCAAAAGATCGGAGCTTGCGTGTAAGGCGCGTGCTATAAGTATTAGTAGCAGTTTCTATTAACTTAAAATAATACTCTTATTAAATTAGTTTAGGCAGTATACTAACTACCTAATATAATTACCTAAAATAAGCTTTTTAGCCTATTTGATAATTATATTTAATATATAAAGAGAACTTAAATATATTTACTAAAGGATAAAAAGGCCTAGTTACTTATTATAGCTCTTTAACTTAATATTAAAAA